ATACAGATGGAAGATCGGTTTATGGCAGCCAATCCTTCTAAAGTCTCCTATGAACCAATTACAACCACACTGAAACGGAAGCAGGAGGAGGTGTCTGCTGTCATCATTCAGCGTGCTTACAGATGTTATCTTCTAAAGCAAAAAGTTAAACAGGTGTCTAGTATGTATAATAGAAATAAAAACAAAGAAGGAGATGGACAAGTTATAAAAGAGATAATTATTGATAAATTAAAGGGGAACTCCACTCCAGAAAAAACAGATGAGAGTTCCTCTACAACTTCTCCACCTTCTTATGACAGTGTAACAAAGCCAGACAAAGAAAAATATGAGAAAGATAAAGCAGAAAAGAACTACAAAGGTAAAGACATCAGGGAAAATAAAAAATAACGATCTAAGAATTTTTCTTGTGGGACAACATGTTTACAGTCTTTGAGAATGAAGCAACAACTGGACTCCTGCAGGAGATTTATGCCAAACTGACAGTTTTTACACATATATATGTGTGTGTGTGCGCGCGCATGTGTGTGCATATATATACATTATATATATACTTAAGGTCAGTGCCTATAACAAAACAGTGAACCTCCATCATCAGACTGTGACTCTGTCAATCAGGGTAAAAAACTTGACAAGAGGTTACTGTTTTCACTACAGCTGACACTGCTAAGAATGAGAGGAAAAGTGGCTCCGCAGAGAAGACAGAGCATGAAATGAGTGCAAAAGGATACTTTATGTTTCACAATATGTAGAACAGTAATTCTCTTCACTGTTTGTAATGCAACAGCTACATTTGTCATATTTTTACAAAATCGGTATTAGTGTATTTATCATTTTTTAATTCACAGGTTGTTTACTATTATATGTGACTATTTTTGTAATAGGTTTTATGTTGGGGAAAGAGGTATGAGGACCAGGAGTTCTACTCTCAGATTCTCTATAATGTACAGATAAAAGTGATTTACATGGGCATGCTGCACTTGTCAATCATGCATAAATAAAAATATGACATTGCACAAAGCTAAAGATTTTAAGAACTTTCATGTCAGGGTTGCTCTTAAATTTGAGGTGTTCTAACTACTTGTATGGCTGCATCCAGATTATGTGCATCCATATTAATGTGCCTGGAAAGCCTCCTCTATTTTACAGGAATCTGCAATGACTTATTTTTATGTGAATCATTAAACATGAACAAGTTCATGGTTTTGTTAAAATATTTACAGCTCAAAAAATATTGTGTGGTTTCTGCACTAGAAAAATAGCTTCACCAAAATATATCTGGGAGCTCTTTTGTTTTCTTTTTTTTTTTTTTTTTAAGCTCAGACTTCTTCCTAGACTGTTCTTTGGTTGCCATCTTCTCTCATTATGGCCAACATCCAATGAATCCATAAAATACCCTTTTCCATGTAAATATTAACTGCATACTGATCTAGATATCTGAGCAAAGAATTAAATGGCTTTGCCACATTGAATTGCATCAGATATGTACCACAGTATGGTTAATTCACAAGAGCTCAACAGGACATGTTATATTCTGTGTCATTATAGATAGTTAGGAGAGTATCACTGATGCTTTTGCTGCTGTACCTTGGTCCTTCCACTGTCCACAGTCTCCACTATAGGAAACCATGTGTCAGTGGTGAAGTGAATCAAATTGTCCAACCAGACCTCATTCTTTCAAATCATTAAGCAATAGTTTGCAGCTATTTATGAGCTTTTTTAATTTTGCATTTTAAATTTGAAGTGGCTGCTATATGGTGTAGAATTGGACTGTACAGGCCATATTGCAAACTGTTTAACCTGTTGAAAACGTGGTTAGCATATATAAATAATGTAAAGAAATACCATTTGGCAACAGTTTTGTATATAAGAAAAGTGTCTTCAAGTTTAGGTCACTGTTTCTTATATTTCTTTTCTCATTCACGTGACTTATTTTCTAACCACAATAATTCCAAACTGGCATCATCACACTATGAGAAAAAAAAAAAAGTGAGTATTTGTAGACTATCTTGTTTTAATATTATATCTGCATATATTTCAATGTGAAGTAAATTGTGTAAATCTGGAACCCAGCTTGTTTCCAAATAGTTACAGGACATAACAATGAAAGCATTAGGGGATCGTACAGATTTCTAGCACTGTTTGCATCAGAAGTTCCAAGATAGTCTCATAGTTCGTTAAATCCTTGCTAACTTACAGTGTTTGTTTACATAGTCTGCTCTTATTCTTTTTTCAATCACACTGCATTAGGCTTGTACAAATAAAATATTTCCCAAGAAAAAAATGGCACATTTGTATAATCAAGGACATCAGGACATTTTGTGTTTCATACACAAGCTAACATGAAATGTAGAATCTTTCTTTTACAAATGCTTTTGACTTGTAATGTGTTGGTGAAATGCATGCAGGAAACTGTTATTATCATAAACAACGCAAACAATATTACAAATGAGCCAAAAAATAAAGGTTTCTTTTTTTTTATTGTGCTAATTTTGCTTTGTCTCTGTCCTTCTGTTGGTTAAAGGAAGACAAAAGCTGGCTTTGGTGCAAATAAAGAATGCTTTCTTTTTCACTGAGCTAATTACCTTATTCTTCACATTTTAAGTTTTAGGTAAAGTAATTTTTTAAAAAATAATCTAAGAACTTTGATCAGACTCCACTGATTTCTTTTTTGTTTTGTTTGACTTTTTTGTCACCAGCATATTGTCTGAGAATAACACAGGACGAGCCAACAGCCTTTCTATCAACCCTCAAGAGCCCTTATCTACCATAAAGGCACTGCTCAGTACCTAAGGTATTTAGTTTGCCACAGTGCTGCCACCAAAGATGCTCATGTTTAATGAGCAATGCTAATGTTTTAAATATGCAAACAAACTCACCAACAAAGTTCCTTTGTTTGGTCCCATGTAACATTCAGCCAAAGTGCTCATTGCAAACAGATAAAAGTTGGGTTTTGTTGTACTGTGATTCTTTTTATTCCAGTAATTCTCAAAAGTAATAAATACCATTTCACTTGATCTCACAAGAAAGGAACCACACTGAAACTCAGCTGTGTTAAGCAGTGTGCATAACCATAATATCCGGATGTTACATGGTAGCTTTTGACTTAATATGGGTGTTGTCAAGCTGTTCAAGGGCAGAAAGATATAGGGCATTGAAACACCATATTATTTTATTGAATTTAAAATATATTATTTTATTTAAAAATGAACAGTAAGTAGAATATCCCTGGAGTTTGCTCACTGGCATGTTTTCAGTGTTTCTTAATATGTGGATATTATGCCATTTTGGCTAAATACTGAATTGCTTATATAACCGTGAAATAACTGATGGAACATTGTAACACTACAATCTATTAAAATCTCTAATATGATAAGCATCAGTAATCCCTGCAGCAATCCCTGAGTTGGGCTACCATGCAACAGGGAAGCCATACTTGCTTATATGAATGGCTGTCCCTACATCAGAAAAAATGTCTTACCAAGAA